CCCCCCCCCCGGAAAAAAAATCCAGAAAAGTTTTTTTTCCTTTCCCCCCCAAAAAAAAATCCAGAAAGAAGGTTCCCCCCCATAAAAAAAAGCCACCCGCTAGTGGCTGATCCTAGAGGTGCTTCCGCAGCCTTTTCAAATAAAATGAAATAAAATAAAATGGGATTTGCCAGGTTGGCTGGGCTCCTTCGTTCGCCTCTGCAACCAAGAGATTTGCGGCAAAGGCGTTTGTGGCAGCTTTTCCCTCTTCAGGATGGGAGGCCCCGGGACCGTTTGTAACCGTTTCCTGAAAAAAAGTGGAGGGTTGTGCGTATTGCACTCCCACTGGGGAAGTGCAATATGCTGGGGAGACCCACTGCCCCAGAGAGGCTCCGGCCTCTAAGGAACCGTCGTCGGGGAGGTGAAACGGGGCCGTGCAAGTTGGAATGGCTGCTTTCCAGCTGGCCGTAACCCGCAGTAAAGAAGAAGCCAACTGGATCCGGGCATCTTAATGTTCTCCACACTGTGTCCTCCTTGGAGAAAACGTGTGGCTCGGGGTTGAACTGGGGCGGTCTTTGGTGGTCTCTGAGCTGGGTGGTTTCTTTGTGGACATTTCGTTGCCCAACTAGGGAACATCAACAGTGCTAGAAGGGGAGGGGGGATTGTGGAGAGGAGGAGGAGGAAAAGGAGGAGAGGAAGGAAGAGGACTGTGGGGTCCTTGGTGCTCTCTGCGCTTGGTGGTTTTCTTGCAGATGTTTCATGACCCAACTAGGGAACATCATCAGTTCTAGAAGGACGTAGGGCTTGCAGGGAGGAGGAGGAGGAGGAGGAGGAGGACTGCAGGGTCCTTGGTGCTCTCTGAGCTGGGTGGTTTCCTTGTGGACATTTCATGACCCAACTAGGTAACATCATTAGTGCTACAAGGAAGTAGGGCTTGCAGGGAGGAGGAGGAGGAGGAGGAGGAGGAGGAGGAGGAGGAGGAGGAGGATTGTGGGGTCCTGGGTGCTCCCTGAGCTGGGTGGTTTTCTTGCAGACGTTTCATGACCCAACCAGGTGACATCATCAGTGCTGGTAAGGAGTGAGGTTTGCTCTCATTTTATATTCTAGTGGCTGGCCCGGTCAGTACTGACCCTCGTTATGACTGCCACAATTTGTGACCCAAACTAGGTAACAACATCAGTGCTGGAAGGGAGGGGGGTTTGTGGAGAGGGGTCCTTGGTGCTCCCTGACCTTGGTGGTTTTCTTGTGGATGTTTGATCACCCAAACATCAGGGCACTGATGATGTTTCCTAGTTGGGCAATGCAACATCCACAAGAAAACCACCAAGCTCAGTGAGCACTAAGGACCCCACAGTCATCCTCCTCCTCCTCCTCCTCCTCTCTACAAACCCCATTCCGATTTAGCACTGATGATGCTACCTAGTTGGGTAATGAAACATCTGCAACAAAAAACAACAACAACCCAAGCTCAGAAAGCACCAAGGACCCCAGATGTCCTTCTTGATGGGACAGGATGTTAAATCTCTCTCTAGGAATGCAAAAGGGACCTTTAAGAAGCCGGGGAGAAAGAGTATTGATGCTTCTCCATGGCATTGGAGGGTACAAGGGATAGCCAAAGAAAACAACGCCCGGGTTGGGGATCAAGTCAACCCAAACTCCTCATGAGATGCAAACTGCCATGCTCAAATTCACATATTTGGGGGGCACTTAATAATAAAGTTGGAAGGGACCTTGGAGGTCATCGAGTCCAACCCCCTGCTCAGGCAGGAACCCTACACCATTTCGGACAAATGGCTGTCCAGTCTCTTCTTAAAAACTTCCAGTGTTGGAGCATTCACCGCTTCTGGAGGCAAGGAGTTCCAATGGTTAATTGTCCTCACTGTCAGGAAGTTTCTCCTTAGTTCTAGGTTGCTTCTCTCCTTGGTTAGTTTCCATCCGTTGCTTCTTGTTCTGCCTTCAGGCGCTTTGGAGAATAGCTTGACTCCCTCTTCTTTGGGGCAGCCCCTGAGATATTGGAAGGCTGCTATCCTGTCCCCCCTCGTCCTTCTCTTCATTAGACTAGACATACCCAATTCCAGCAACCGTTCCTTATACGTTTTAGCCTCCAGTCCCCTGATCGTCTTTGTTGCTCTTCTCTGCACTCTTTCTAGAGTCTCAACCTCTTTTTTACATCGTGGTGACCAAAACTGGATGCAGTATTCCAAGTGTGGCTTTACCAAGGCATTGTAAAGTGGTATTAACACTTTGCATGATCTTGATTCTCTCCCTCTGTTAATGCAGCCCAGCACTGTGTTGGCCTTTTTGGCAGCTGCAGCACATGGCTGGCTCATATTTAGGTGATTGTCCACTAGGACTCCAAGATCCCTCTCACAGTTACTACTATTGAGCAAGGTACCCCCTATACTATACCTGTACATTTGGTTTTTCTTGCCTAAGTGTAGAACCTTGCTTTTTTCACCCTTGAATTTCATTTTGTTAGATAGCGCCCAGTGTTCAAGTCTGTCCAGGTCCTCCTGTATCCTAAGCCTGTCTTCTGGGGTGTTGAGAAGACCGTGGAGAAAATCAGCCAGGTGGGTGGACTCAATTGCAGCAGGGATGGGGTGATGGGGCTGGCAGGCCTGGGGGGGGGGCAGGTGACCTAGTTTGGGTAATCCTG